CTCTCTTCCTCCCTACCCCCCCAAAACGTGAGAGAGAAGATAGGCGGTGTCCTCTCGCCGCTTCCCTGGGGGGAGGGGAGCAGTGGGAGGCGAAGGGGAGACGGCGAGGAGCCCCCCTCCGTCGCTTCTCTCCCGCCCCGGCTCAGGCCGCTGTGCTTTGGCAGGTTTAACGAGAGAATAAAGCTCTCCCCATAAAGCGTCCATCGCGCGGGGGGAAGGGGAGTCGGGGGTGGAGCCGGGAGGCCGCTCGGCCTGCAAGGGGAACCTGGGAGTGCGCCTGAGCGGGCGGCAGCCAGGAGCCGGGAATTAAGGGGTACTCCTGGGAGCCCCTTGCTTTGGGTCCTGGGTGCTAGCATCCCATCCCCCCAGCTGCCCCTCTCATCCTAGGGGCACTACAATAAGCTGCTCCCGCTCCGGGGAGTGTCTGGGACGCCCCTTCCCCAGAGACCCCAGCCACTGCCCCAAAAGGCCCCGGATTGGGTGGGGCAGGGAAAGAGCGAGGAGGACGGGGCTCCAAAGAAGGAGACGTGAGATCTGGAGCCCGGGACACAAAACGTTTAGACTTAAAGGAGATATGGGGCTTCTAGACCTGGCCTGTGAAAGGGGGTCAGGATTTCCCGTTAAGGGTGGGGAAAGGGGTCGGAGAGAAGACACACTCGACAGTATTCGGAGAGAGAGGCAGAGGCAGAAAGAGACCCAGGGATAGCGGCACAAAGAGGGAAAGAGAGGAATTGAAGGAGGGGATGGGAGAGGATCTTATAAAATCCTTAAGCACCAGTGGGAAAAGAGAACTCTTTCCCCCCTTCCCTGAGAACTAAGGACTTTCCAGGAAGTCAGGCTTGGCTAACTGGCCATGAACTAGCTGTGGGGGTTCTGGACCCCAAGAACACAGGAGCCTGGCCTGCGTGACATGCGTCTCGGCCCTGCAGTCCTATGTTCCCAGAGGCCCAGGAAGCTCACCCTGGCTCTGGCACATTTCCACCCAGGCTGAGAGTCCAGAAAGACCAGGGCTTTATCTGCCTCCTCCAGGCTCTTAATTTTTTTAGAAGGAATAATTACGGGAGAGGGAGCCCCAACCGCTGGAGAAATTCCTTGGGGCCCCTCTTTTGGGGCCTATTGTTCAGTGTAAGTCAGAAGGCTCAATCTGATTTGTTTCACAAATCTGAGGTTTTCCATTTCCTTCACCACCCCTTCCAAATCAAATCCGTCTGAGTCCACTTTTTCTAGAACCCCCAGTTTTTCTGGAGAAGACAGGAACTATTCCATTTTACATGGGGGTCATCGCAATTATATACAACAGACCACCCTGAGCCCTTAGTGGTTTCAGCCATGCCCACTCACCAACTTGAACCTGAACTTGAGCCATCTTTCGGGACTGGGTCCATGCAAACAGGAGTTGCAGGACTATCGTGGAAATTATAGCTCACCCATAACAAACATTGCTGCACATACAAGAAGCAACCAAGGAATGCATAAACAACAAATGGAACAACAAATCGGTCTCTCTCTCTCTCTCCCTCTCTCATAATAAATAAATAAGCATTGCTAATAATTTAAGACACCAAACATGAAATCCTCACTATATTTTATTGTATTTGAAAACAGCATGAGAGAAAAGGAAGANACATAAGAGAAAAGGGAGATGTCTCTCTGATGGGTCGAGGTACTTTTGCTGTAGCATCTTTGCTCTGTAGACATCTTTGCCATAAATATTTTTTAAATCTTTTAAAATTTATTCCAGAGAGAGGAAGGGAGAGGGAGAGAGAAACATCAATGATGAGAAAGAATCATTGATTAGCTGCCTCCTGCACTCCCCCCACCAAGGACTGAGCCCAACCCGGCATGTGCCCTGACCAGGAATCAAACCACGATCTCCTGGTTCATGGGTCCACGCTCAACCACTGAGCCATGCTGGCCGGACACCACAAATATTTTTCCTACAAACATTTTCACCACATAACTCATTGGCCATAAGGCAATTTTGCCATTAAAAAAGATAAAAATCACAAAAAATAAGAGGGATGTTAAATACATAACAATTAAAAAGGCTTTATTGTGAATACAAAATATTTGAATACATTTCAAATGTGTATAATTNAAGAGGGATGTTAAGAAATACATAACAATTAAAAAAGCTTTATTGTGAATACAAAATATTTGAATACATTTCAAATGTGTATAATTCATGGCAATCCTGTGCAAATAACTGACTTTATTCTGTGGATTGTATGTAAGCACTTGTCTTTATTGTATGGGAACTGTGAGTTCTACCTTGTTCCCTCAAAGAGAACCCTCGGACACTTTCTCCTCCCAGTGTACAGGCATACCTTGGAGATATTTTGGATTCAGTTCCAGACCAATGCAATAACGGGAGTGTCACAATAAAGCAAGTCACAAGAACTTATTGGTTTCCCAGTGAATATGTTATGTTTACACTATACTGTAGTCTAATAAGTGTGTAATAGCATTATGTCTAAAAAAAAAAAAGTACATACCTTAATCTAAACATTCTGTATTCTAAAAAATACTGACCATTATCTGAGACTTCAGTGAATTGTAATCATTTTGCTGGTGGAGGGTCTTATCTTCAATTTATAGAAAACACAGTATTTGCAAAGTGCAACAAAGCTAAGGCCAATAACATGAGAGATGCCTATAGTGTCTCAAAATAAGAAACTAACTCTTGGGGCAAATTGTTGTCCTCTGGAAGAAATGCTAACTATTTTAAGACCACCACCATATCTACTTGTCACTGTATAGACTATTATGAGGGCTAGCTAAGATTTATATATAACATAAAAATGGAAATAACTGTGAAAACTTTGTCAGTGCAAAAATGAAACCAAACTAACAACTAGCTTAAATACGTTATGTCTTCAAAGGCAATTGATTGGTTTGTCAATGGAGAAATGAACCAAACAAAACTCAAATTGTTAATCAGTTATTTTCTCTTTTTTACAGCAAAATTGCCTTATGGCCAATTAGTTATGTGGTGAAAATGTTTATGGCAAAAATGCTTTCAGCAGAGATGCCTAAGGCAAAAATGCTTATGATGAAAATACTGGACACGCTCTTTGATACTTCCCAGTTTCCAGTCATAGCTTCTTGCTTCACTAATTATGAAAGACAGAAATATCAGGATTTTTACCAAAAGACAAAAGTTTTTCACTGGCTTTTACTTTGTAGATGACAGTACAAGCATGAATAAATCCCTAAATTTTAAAAAGTAGTCATACATACCCTATGACCCAGCAATTCCATTCCTGGGCATATACCCAACAGAAAATGTTCATTGCCATTAAAAGTCATGTACTAGAACATCCAAAGCATCTTTATTCATTAAAGCTCGAAAACAGAAGCACCTTAAATGTCCAGCAATAATTAATGGGTAAATAAATTGTGCTACAATTAAAATTTGAAGTACTACACAGCAATAAAAAAAAAAAACTACTGCTACACACAAAATGAATAAATCACAAAGATATATAGCTGAAAGAAGCCAGACACAAAAGAATAGCTTTTGTTTGACTCTGTTTCTATGCAGTTCAAGAACAGGCAAAATTAGGTTAGAAGAGATTACCCTGGAGAGGGGGACTCTGGACTGCGAGGTGCCATAGGAAAGCTTTCTGGGGTGCTGGAAATGTTCTCAATTTTAATCTGCAGGCTACTTATACGGCTATGTTTACTTAGTGAAAATTCAAGCTGTACACTTGATATTTCTGCACTTTACTGTACATTCGTTTTATCTCTGTTTTTAGAAGATAAAATAATTAACTACAAAAATTTAAAGATTCGTAACAGCATTGTCTGCCACTGTGCTTTTTGGATACTCAGTTTTCATATTCGCGTCCATGGAAATAAGCAGCTAAGTGCACACAGCTCTGCATTGTTGTGGAATGCCCAGATTGTCCTGGGCGAGCTCACCAGCGGTGCTCGAGACCCCTATGGAAACAGATACATCTCAATACAAATAAAAATTATGGGGTTTGTTGGTTTTGTTTTCTTTTTTACTCTACAATTTATTTAGCAACTGCTAGATCCCAGGGAACAGTTCTGAACATCATATGTATTAACATATGAGCATGTGCTCCCATTTCCTGTGCATGCATATGTATGGGCATCTGTCTGTGATGGATCATAGATCTCAACCTGGGGCAGTTAAAGTAAGATGAAGTCTCCTTATCTGTAAAAATTACTTGTCTCCCTATGAGCACAAATATTTCTACCTCGCAGGAAAGCTGTGAAGATTAAATTGAGAGTTTGCATATGAAAGCATTTTATAAACGGAATAAATACGAGTTATATTTGTGTTTCTGTATGTGTATCTGTTTCTAATGAATTACACGACACCTGTTTTTATTTAAAAATAAGAAAAGGGCCCCAGCCCCGCAGAAGCCTTTGTGTCCTGCTGGGAGTCGCCAGGCAGACCCTCTCAGGCCGCCGAGCCCCCCTCCCCCAGCCCCCTTTCCCGACCCAGCCAAACGCGCTGAAAGAGCTCAGCTGCTCCTTTACATACCGGCCAGACACCTCCGGGAAGGTCAAGGCCAAGTTGAAAGTTAAGAGCCTGTTTATCACCGGGAGCCCATTCAGCGCGGCCCCGCAGACCGCCTGTGACCTTTACGG